GGCAGCTACGATCTGGAACCAACTTCCAAGGGCAGTGGTGCTTGCTCCTACCCTTGGGGTCTTCAAAAGGAGGCTAGATAATCACCTATCGGGGGTCGTTTGACCCCAGCATCCTTTCCTGCCCATGGCAGGGGGTCGGACTTGATCTGCTCAGGTCCCTTCCAACCCTACCAACTATGAAACTACATGGTTGAGAAAATTTCAACAATTTTTCAAGCACAATGCACTGAAGAGTATCTTGTCTGAAATATATTTTATTGGACCAACTGCATGTTTGGGAGATCAGGCTAGTGTGCATCTGAAGTTGATGTCTCAAACACCCAAGCCTCTCAATCACAGATGGCTAGAAACCACTATTGGCCTTGTGACATATGGTAACAGACATTCACAGCAAGTCATGCCAAACACAGATTAACCAAGGAGTACTTCGGAAGTCACCGGTCTGCAAAAACAATCAGATACAGTATATAAAGCTTTTATAGCCTTAAAGCCCTCAGTCAGATATGTTTACACTGATATTTAAGATGGACTTTGAAGCCACCCTTAACAAGCTTGAATTGCATACACCACTTTCCCCTATCTATATTATACCTTGTAGCCTGCACCAAAGCTGTCCACACTGGTTCTGATTTCTTGATCCCAGCATTACGGTGCAACATAACTGTCCTTGCACAGCCATTCTAGGACTCAGTCCTGCAGACGATTTGTCTATCTTTCTGGACAGTATTGAGATGAAGTAGGGTGCAGGAAGCAAGAATGGTGGGATTTCTGCCAAGACTTCTGGTGCTTGAGGCGTGCAGCATACCAATGAATTCCAAACACTTGCCAAAAGGAGAATGCTTAGAGACAACAAGCAGTGGACTCAAACTCATACCATCAAGTTCAGCAGAGCTTCCAGGGTTGGTCTAGACCAGTGATGCAGCTTCACAGCTGACAGTGTAGATGGTTAGCTGGTACAGCATCTATAGTAACTTCCGATGTCTCTAGTCTGAGCCTTAACTCCTAACATACCACTAGAGGGTACATTAAAGAGTCCAACTATGGGGGAGAAAACAGTCTTCTTCTATGAAGGAAGTAGGGAAGAGGGATCTTTTAAGAGAAAAAAAGTGAGATAGATTAGAAAGTATACAGTAAAGAACACTGAAAATGAAGTGAAAGTCAATGTAGGACTCTATAGTGGGTTGTTACCCCTAAGGTAGGCCCGGGGGTCAGCCCTCCCTTTCCCTACCTCAAAGCAAACAGAATAACTAGACATTGACAACACCCCTCTACAAGGCAAGGGCTTCACTGCAGTGTTTCAATGTTACCTTTCTTCTCAGCTACCCTCCCTCCCTCCCTCCCCAGTGTTATCTCTCTGGGAGCTTTTTTAACTTCCTCCAGGGCCAGCCAATCATCCCTGTCAGCAACCCCAGAGCACTTCAGCAGGCAGACTATTACCCTCTAACCCCCTGCAGCTGGGCTCCAACCCCTGAGATATGCACCTTGTTACAGATGCCTTGCTATAAATACTGCACAGAGAAGATTTAAAGGTAATGACCTTGAACAAAAGATAACTAGGGTCAGAGCTGAATATTTAAATGACAGAACCCTAACAATATCAGAAATCATAGCAGAAAATATGATTTGTCAAGGAATAAAGGTATAGAAAAAGTAGCCTTCAAAAGGAAAACTTAGTTACAGTTAAAAGGGGATTAATTTGACCTGTCCATCAGGCCTATTAAACCAGAAGCTGCCAACCCATCTTTTTAAAAATAAATAAATAAATTGCACACTAGCAAACAGATGAATGCACTGCATCACTTGTTTGATATGCTTCCTAAAATCTCCCATTTTACTTAACCAGCAGCCTTCCCCACCCCCAGTGTGTCCTTTTCATTTGGATAACAGACCAAAGTGTTCTGAGAAGCTTATGAAATGACATATTTACTAATATAAAAAATGGACAAATACTCCCTTAATTAAAAGAAATAAGATTAGATTATTAATCCCGTTTTCTGAGTTCAAAAGAAAAAAGTTCACATGAATATTTAAACATATTTAAATTGACCCCCATATTCACATTCAAGATCAAAATCTTTAAATGGTGAATACTTTTAATCATCACATTAGTACAAATTACAGCAGCACTATACAAAAAATACATTACAGTTTCAATAAAAGAACAATAGTATTTCATTGACAGCTGTTTGCCACACAACTCTTAAAAGTTTAAAAAATGGAATTAAAATACTGTCAAGGATCTAAATTTAATTCACAAAAAAGTCAGCTTCTTTAGCTTGTACAATTCATCAAGTTATCAGAGAGGACCATGACAATGCATGATGCTTTGTATCAAGTTATAACAATATTAAATATTAAGAACTTCATGCCCCTTTGACAAGCACAGAGGAGAAAAATGAGCTTGATTCTTGTAGGTCTAGGTCTCAACATTATTTAACAAAGCTTTTTTTTCTTCATGTTTAACACAAAAGGACTCCCAGTATTTCCACAGGAAGGAGTGGGGAGAGCAAGCAGAAGTATAGCAGTAACTATGGACAGTCATATCATAATTCATGCTGTTAATGAAAAACTGCTGCAGCCAGCAATTAAAAAAGCCCGGTGAAAGTTTTGCCTTTAGCTATGGAAATAAACTACATCACAAATTGCATTCTACTAGTACTTCCATGAAAGCTTCACATTGTATACATGCATACTGATGCCATGTTTGGTCTGAAACATCTTCAGCATTAACATAACATTAAAAATGTAGGTCAGAAGAGCAAAATTTCAGATTCATCCGCAAGGTTCTACTTAGCCCTCTTTTCTAATCCTGGGTGGCAGTCGCACTTAAAACTGAGATGTTATTCTCATTAACTGTCTCCTGTAGCTCCTGTTAGTTATACCCACTAACAGGAATATGCAGAGGCTTGCAAATAGTACCAATCAAGGACCTGATGCTGTCCAATACCCAGGTTGGGGAACAGTTTATACTGGTCCAGCAGACACCCATTTGCAGCAGTACCTGATGAAAGCAGCAGACACTTCCCAGGGGCTCTTATCTACCACATTCAGATGACCCTCACTATAGGAGCAACAGCCACCTAGAAGCAACATAGCATCAGGGCATTGACACATTGAAGCTAACAGGTTTCAACTGCATTGTACTTGAAATTTGTTCTCCTACCTAACATACATTTCCATCCAATACATCAGGTCCTTCTTTCCCAGAAATCTAATAAACTTTCTTTAAGTTACGGCAAAGTTTCACTTTCAACCCTGAATGAATGCTATTTGATACAGAGCAAGAGGGATCTGCAATAGTATCAGAAAATAAACCCAGCACCTTCAATATTTTAACACTGCCACATGAAAGAAGTGGTGCGCCCGCTAGTCAACCATGAAGCCTTCTGCTGTTACAAAGTGTCTCGTCTCCACCTCTCTGAATTATAAACTCTATTCATATCAATGGAGAAAAACAGAACTTACACATTTACTTTATCAAAAGCTGTCCTGGAGACAGCAATAAAAAGGAGCACTTCTGATCTACCATTACGTGACCTACAAGTTCTGAAGGCTAACTTTAAATAAGGATGAACAATTAAGACAATTTAGAAGTTAAGTACATGCTTGATGGTTTATTGCAATTTAAAAATTAAAACAAAAACAACTGGATTTTTGTTTTACATCTTGGGTCCCAGGTGCAGCAACTATATCATTCTAGCGTCACATATGAACTTCAATTGTGCTTTGAGAATAAAATAAAGGTTTGTGCAATTTCTAGTTGTCTGTTAAATGCCTCTCTTTTATAAATATAGTCTTTTCAGAAAACACTAATTAGAAAGAAATTTTCCATTTAAAACCAAATTTACAAGAAATTACATCATACTGCAGTGCACTTTAATCACCAAATGATGCAGATTACAATATCCTGGCACAAAGAATTTACAAAAGCATTAGAAATCGAAATCTGCTGATCAAATAAGAATGTTAGGCTAAGTAGAAATAATTCATAACCAAGCAGCACGAACGTTAGTGGGCTTAGGTCTCTGTAATGCCCCGCTGGATGAATCAGAAACTGGTCTCTCACTCCTATGACTGATGGCACTGGGTACACTGGATGCTCTGGAAGTTCCTCCTGTTAAAGAGCAAATAAATTGCATCTTAGCTGTAGTAGGTGGCTTATTACTATAATCATCATTATTATACCAGCCATTGCCATGGTTTCTGGGAAATGTCACAAAAACTAAAAGAGAAAACTAAAATCTTGAGTAGTTTAAAAGCATCACCAAAGGACTCGAACATATGCTGTAAAGGAAAAAAAAACAGTCTTGCAGTGGCAATGTTATTAACAAAAGGACCTGATAGAGTGTAGGAATGAAGAAGATAAATTATATCGCTAAGATGTTTCTTTCCCCCCACCACGTGATTAATATATTGAAAAAAAAATTAATTATTATTCAAGATTACCATAATTTTAGAATCCTCATTTGTCAGAGAGTGTAAAAACATCTAACATAAAGGGCATACCATCTCAAAGCCACTTACTTGAAGGGCTAAGCTGGCTCATTGCAGACTTTCCTCGTCTTGCAGACGGTGAAGAACTTAGATAATTCATCTGGCGCTGATAGTCCAGCAACTGCTCTGAACGTTTCATACCCACTGTTGGTTTCACAGCTTCCAGTCTCTTCAGAAGAGCCTTAATTGAAGGGAAAAAACCCCCAATTTTAAAAGGTAGATATAATGTGTTTGTGTGCTCCCATGCACTCCTCCTCTCCCCTTGAAAATGGAAAGGATTAAGAGCTATAAATGTGCACAAAAATGATCAGATTTGTACAAACCAGAACATTCTACAATTAAGCATTTGCTCTAGAATCAATATGGATCACTTCACTGGTGACCAACTTATGGTCCTACAACACTGGTTTGGAGTTTTGCTCTCTCTTTTAATTATATATGGAATATAACTATATTTTAAACCACAAAATTATGCTTATCACAACATTTTGTTAAAATATTATTGTGTCCTTCTATGGCAGGAAAGAGGAGGGAAGGACAGGAAGATAGGCTGAACCCCTGCCATCTCTGCCTTTATCTGTTTTTCAAGGGCTGTCTTTTATCTATCCAAAAACTTTGCCTGACTCTGCATCTTCTGAATTTGATTAAAACAATTTTATGTAACCCTTCAAGAGGGCCTGTACCACCAGTTAGTCTATTGACCTCAGAAGGGAAAAGGCTGAACTTCAAAGGGGATACTGATATCAGTAGTGTCCTTCCAGTAAGGTAAAAGGGGTCCAGAAGGTCTTCTAAAGCTATTGTCCATTTTCCATAAACATTGATTATGCTTGCTGTTTAGTTACAGAATAAGTTAAATGCATCAGGAACAGAAAGACACACTCATAATCTTAATACAATACAAACACTTCCAACATCCTTTATAACAAACTCATGCTAGGAAGCCCAGATTAAGACATTTCCATAATTTTAAAGCAAGGACTTTTTTTTGTAAATTAAAAGGCAGAGGGACCCAGATAAACATGGGTAAGAAATTATTTTAGTATCTTTGTAATTTTAACACTCTTCACCTTCAGTTCTTGAAATTCAAGAACTTGGACCTGGACACACTCCTCAGCTAGCTAGCTAACCTCTGGCTTGACAATCATGAATGCACTTGTTTGACAGTGACACAACCACCACTGGGTAGGGCTGTGACACAGATGCTACCAATTGGTACATGGCAGAATGCAACGAGAAGCCTCCATCCAAAATATTACAACAACCCTAGTTGGAAGGATGGTATTTTTTACGCATTAACTTCTCATGCTATAGTATTCATTGGTATAAACTATTAAAGTTTTACTTTATTCTTCCTCAAGAACAAAAAAACAACAACCCACAACCTGAAGGAGTTGGGGGGTGGGGAAGAGAGAGAGGGGGTATTATTGTTTGCAAACTGCTTTTGTAGCAACCAGCTTGAGAAGATATAGAAGAGTCATGAGTTGTCACCTGTCACTGTGACTGCAATTAAAGCCTACGAACATACAGTAGTTTGTGTATGGGAACCTAGAAACGTACATTGAGAGAGCACAAGAGAGAGGACAAGTCATTTTGGCTCTGATGCAGTATGTCACATGTGCTTGTAATAAGTGCCAGTCAGCTCATCATCAAGTGGAAATACCTTGGTAAGCAAAAGTCAAAGGAAGGACTTCAGCTAGAAATAGCTCCTGCTTAAAGCCCACTGCAAAACATGACATGTTAGACTAGCCTTTATATGTTAGAGCCAATATTACCACCATCTCTCCTGTTCAATTATAGGAATCTTGATCTGTAACAGGAAATCTAAATTAATCATTCACATTCACTAATCCTAAAACTTTTACTTTGACAATGTATGCAGGCAGGCTAATTTAAAGGACCGGACATTTTTCACCCGTTGAAAGGGAAGCATGCAGCGAGCCTAAATTCCATTTGAAAAGTCTTTGTGGAGCTTACATACCAGAAATATCATGCGAATGCAGGCAGCCCTAAGCTTCTTAATATATTTATTTACTCCACATTCCCATATTATTCAAGATTTCAAGGAAAAAATATACAATTACTTTCGACACATGTATAACCCCCTCCCCCGCAAAAAAAACAAACAAAAAAACCCCAACTAGTCACCATTTTATGCGTGTATTTAGAAAAGGTTGTCCATTAAGGACAAAAACCCCTCTTAGTACTAGGGATTTATAGCTGGGAAAAAAAAAAAAAAAAGATTTACAACTGAAAAAACAGATGAACAGTACTGGGTATTTAAACCCTGTTATATACAAGACAGGTACACATTTTGTGGTGACAACAGCAACTTCTATCACTCCTAAGGAGCTCTCTGCTAAGAGAGGGAAGAATTAAAAGTCTTTGCTGAGAACTGTATCAAAGCAAGTGCCATTTGTAGCTAGCATTCCAATTCTTGGACAGCAGCCCACTGCATGCGGAAATGAACCCACCAATACATTTGAAATGGCAGGCCTGACCTACTGAATCAGTGACCAAGAACTAAATGGCTCATTTTACTACCAGTTCTATAATCCTTTAAGTCCCTCACTAAGCATATACTCACGTACTGATGGTAAACTGCATTTTCTTTCAATTGTGTAGTTAAATCTCTCAAGTTTTAAGATAATGTTTTCTTTGAGAGAGTGTCCTGAATAATTGTATTACAATCCCTGCTTCTTCCCCACTGTTTAGTCTCTGTGGTCTCAATCCTATACTATTGCAATCATTGGAAGTCTAGTTACTGACTTCCACATTTACAGGATCAGACCCTGCACAATAACCCTGTTTTTGGCATAAAGGTCATATTCCTGATCAGAATCCAAGGTCAAAGAGGAATATCCACATCCCCCACATTTTAAAATTAATTAATAGCCCTAATTGCTCTTAAAACCATGTGTTGCAGCTGCTACCATTTTAGCCCACCATTGTTAGGCTTAAATCAACAGGATTAGGTCAGTACTTAGCAAATTGAGGTGCTGCCCTGTTATCCCCCCTCCCCTGAAAAATAACACCAATGTTATTATATATTTTACACTTATAGCATGATGAACATGACATGTTAAGCCATTGTTGTGGTTGGTTTGTATGAAGCCATAAATCAAATGTGTGGCATGTGCCAGACCCAGGGTTGCCGCATCCAGATGACAACAACCAGATGATTGTCAAGGGTCTGGAACCAGGTAAGGAGCCCTGGGGCTCTCTACACGCTAAAAAGCCTTGCCCTGGAGCTCCTGAGGGGACAGCAGGGCAAGCAACAAGCCTACTGGGTTGTGGGAAACCATGCCCTTGGGATCAGGCAAGGGGCAGCCCTGGTTTGTGTCTGGGGCCTAGAGTTGCCCTCTGCCTGATCTCAGGGATAAGCCAAAGGGCAGCTATGTCCTGGACTTGGTGCTGCCCCCTGCTCAATCCCAATGATCAGCTGATTGTCAGGATCAGCATGGTGGAGACCTGGTACCTGACAGTCAAGTAATTGGGCTCTGGGGAATTTTATGCACCATTCCTATCCCCCCTATCCATGTATGGCATGGCAGGTCACCTGCTTCTGGGAATGGGGCATAAAAGTCCCTGGACCCCAGTCATGTGACTGCCTTAACATCTGCCAGCAACCTCAGAAACTAGGGAACACAGTAATAAAACAATGTAGGAATGGTTGCTATTTAGTGGCTTAAAGTAATGCCAGTAGTGCAGTGTTTAACAAAATAAGAAAGCACAAGTCTCAGCACTTTTCTTCAATAAACATTTCTCTGAAGTCTTTTCTCTGAAACGGAGAAAACTCCCAAGTAACAACAAATACCTCCTCCCAGAACATTCAGTGTAAAGATTACAATGTTGCTTTTCCTTGTTTTATGTTGCTCTTAGGTGCTGGCTTCACTTTCACCATCAATTGAACTCTAGACTGCATGTGAAACCCAAACAGCTGACCATCATGCCTTGACAGCTGTTCAAATTTATTTATACTATGTCTTCTCTAATTTCATTCTTTAGAGCTACACTATCCTTTTGCAGAGCAGAGAAGAAAGATGATAAAAGTGAATTCAAGGATGTCTTTTTGTTCTTGTGCCTGGATGGATTTTTAACTCTCTTCGATTGTTATGGCTCTATTACATAGTTTTAAAATGCATTAATTGTAAGTTGTAAAACCCAATCCAGAGTTCTTCCACATACCATAAGACTAGCTGGACTCTAGAAAGACATTTTTTTCCGAGCAAGTTCCACCAAGAAGTTGAATGACAAAGCTGAGGGGAAAGCAGCAGTGTAAGCAAAAAAAAGGACAACTGGTCAGATATCCTAAACCGAGGCTTAGCAACCATTTGCCACCAAGGGCTGCCACTTGCAACCTGGTCTGTGTGCATTGTCAAATCTCAACACCCTTGAATGGCCAAGCCACCTGTGCTTATCCTCAACGCTGACGCCCATCCCCAACAGAAGAGACAGAATTCTGCAGCGAAAGTGAAGTGCACTTGTGAAAGAACAGCAGGGAAGGCTGCATGGCAGAGATGGGCAGCAGGTCACTGCTATGTGCCTCTGATCCACACCCCACCCTCCGCCAGATTGGATCTTTGTAGGCCGGATCGAGCCTGCAGACCACAGGTTGCTGACCCCTGCCCTAAATAACAAAAATGTTCCCTGAGGACAGTGTGTATGGTGGTGCAGTTAGCTAGTCCTTAATTACTACAACTTCTATTGATGTACTTAGGACCCCTAGTCCTGAACTAGGATCTGTATAAAAATGGTCCCCGCTGCAAAGAGCTTACAGTCTAACTAAATGCTATGATGGTATACTTTTTCTTAGTTCATAAAATCACTGAGAAGTAGGGCTGGGAGAAGCCTCAGGAGCTCATCTAGTTCAACCCCATTCCCTGAGGCAGAATGATCCTTATGCAAATTATCCTATACAGATCCACTGTCTAACTTAGCAAAACAGGTCACTAACTCTTTTGTCTGTGGCAGGTATTCAGGGACATGTTTAGTAATCCAACATCCAGATATTTTTTTCCTGATCAAAGAGGTTGTAGCTGAGACTCCTTCCTCTGAGAGATAGAGAGGTTATTTCGAATGATCAGAGCCACTAGAATCTATACTGGACTTTTGTCACAAAGTTCTCTTTAACCACAGCTTTTTATTATATCATCAAGTTCAAATCAATCTTGTTTCAGAAAGTAAAGACACTTTAATTCCGAGGTGCTAGAAGGATCCCCATGTGTCCTGGCCTCTGAGGTTCTGTCTGCACGTAATCTTCCGAGCTTCTTCAACATGCTAGAAAATTACTTTCTCCTGTGATGACAAACACATTCTGTTACTATTTCCCCCATGACAGATAGGGATCAATGAGCCAACTGAGCAGTGTCAGTCTCGCTTATATATACAGATAACTTAAATGTCTAGGATTGTCTCTATTTTCAGTTTATTCCTGTCCAGCATCCCCAAAATAATGCAAGAGGAAAAAACAGACTTTCTTTCAGCAATGTCACCTTTTACTGGCTTTCTATTCCCATATTTCAAACTCCTAATCCTTGTTCTCAAGCAATGATTCTCTACTGAGGTTCACAAGATCCTTTTAAGGGTGTTGGGGGATGCTGTGCAGTATTAGTGCTGATAAGAGTGCAAACACCTACCCAAGATAAACCTAGAGGTTTCAAATAGGACTCCATAGTGCCAAAAATATTCTGACCTGTCGTAGTCCGAGTTCCTCGCAATAGAAGAATTGCTCTATTATTTTTCTATAGTCAAAAAACAAGTGAAATTAGTTGGGAACTGCTAACTTCAGAAAACTAATGAAAGAGTGCCTTGGGTCTGAAAGAGTTGCTAACCACTCTTTTCAAGAATCTATACCTCAAGACTTCCTCCTTGCACTTCCCCCACTACAATGTTTATTTTACTTGTTCCTCTTTAAGGATCTTTTATTTTCCCCTCCTATTCATATGCTCGTCTCTGATTCATGCTCCCCTCAACATCCACAAAAGCTTTTCTTCTGTTCATGAGAAAATGTTTTCCTTTGTAAAATATCTAAAAAAAATTGCCTTTGTCTGGCTTTCCAGAGTAGGAATTCCTGTTCTACCGACTAGCGAAAAGTAAACAGCCCAAAAGCAATGTATTATTTCCAAGAAAAACACTTTATATAAACACCATCCAACTACTTATGTTAACATGACATTATTACTTCTCATCTTCCCTGCCCTCTAGTTATTATGGTATATTATCAGTGTATTAGACTGCAAACATCTCAGGACAAGTATCCAAAATAATCTGTTTTGAAGTACTCTGTGTAACAGTTCTGATAAAAAACAGCATTTATGCACTTGTGATCAGTAGTAATGAAAGTTATTCCACACTGTCCTCCCCTGGTATATGGTAACAGTTTTGGAAAGAATCACTTCTAAGGATGTCAAAAAACACACTGGTTCATTTTCAGGCCATTCCCCTGAAGCTTCCAATGCAATTTAAATTATATTGTTTGCTTATCTACTGTTACATGGTCTCATGAGTAGCCTAATAATTATCAATGGCAATGACATTTAATTGTGACAAATCATAACCTATGCATAAATGAATCAGAGACTGGGAAGTTAAGTATTGTATGCTTGAGTTTTGAGGTCCCTAAATACACATATATGCATACTAGTAGCTTTTACATCACAAAACATCCTAAAGGTTTGTAAGGTGTCGAATACATGCCAAGCCTATGCATGTATACTCTATACCTAGGTACACAAAACATGTAGATTCACTTATGTCAATACAGATCAAGTTATATGCCAGCAGAAATTTAAAAAAATAAATCTAACATTAGTAACATTCTGTTTCTCTTTCCATTAGGCAAAAATAGGCTGAGCGAGAGAAAGATGACAGACTTCCAAGGGCGATGCATTTTGTGAATCAAGAGTGTCCTCTGCTGGCAAGTTACATTTTTCTTGCTAATTCAAATAACAGCCTGAAATCTGAACAGATGGCCAAAAATGATTAACCAGTCCTCACTTACACAAACAGAGGATCCAACAGCTAATGGAAAAATTGGACATCTGTGGGGAATAAAACTAGAAAAAGGGCAGCCATGAGAATGAAATACTCTCTCATTTTGTGACTGCTGTTGCTTGTTCTGCATTTTCGGTTTTTACCTAATTTCACCGATAAATTACCTGATTTTTTTTTATTGAAGTTATTTGGTTTCTACTTATTTACACCCGTTTTTCACAAGCTGCCCATGCCTCCTGGGACCTGTGCAGCCGTGGGAGCTGCTACCCCCTCCCCGCGCCCCCCGAATGAGCTGCAGCTCTGTCCCATGTCCTGCCTCTGCTAGGCAATGCCTGGCAGGGTGGGTACAGGGGTCCCACGGGCTCAGTCACCTCTGGCCCAAAGGCGCAGCTGAGGCTGGCCCCACCCCGGCCCACCTGTTCTGGGCCCCCTAGGCAGTGCAGGGAGGCAGCCGGGGCTGGTGCTAGGCTGGCAGGGTGGTGTGTTCCTCCCCCCGCCCCCACAACAGAGACTTTCCCACCTGAAGGGATGTGCATGCACATGTGCGCATGCTTAGCCCCCCCAATTTA